GTAAAATGGCGAATGTTGATAGGGCCAGTTGATGTTTAAGGAGGTAGTTTTCCGGGAGATGTATCGATTTTGCCTGGAAGATGGCAGAGTTTAAGGGTGTTGGTCGATCGGTGGGGAGATAAAGGAGAGTTTAGGAAAGAGAAGCGGGCATACGAGACCGCGAAACAGGAACCCTTGGTTAGAAAGTCTCGAGGAACTCGCATTTGTGGTTATCGACTAACTTACGACTTCCAAACTCGAATTCGAAAATCTTTAAATAACGTTTTCTGCGAAGTCTACATTCTATCTATTTTATGACATAAATTTTTATGTTAATAATCGACTTGAATTTAAATATCGTAGATCAATTGGTTAAGTTAGGTTAGATTAGATTCTTACGTTAAATATTCACGTTAAATTCTAAATATTAATAATTTATTTACTTGGAATTTATTTACAGGCAATTAAACAATTATTAAAACCAAGTATCGTTATAAATTATACAAAATATATGTACAATAATACTGTAGTTTATATCATATCGAAATATATCACATCACGCTTTAAAAATTGAAGACAATCTAACTCGATTTGAACCGATAATTGCCGAACGGACCCGAAGTTGAACGAAAGTATCTCGATCCCGCCCGATCGTACCCGACTTTCTCCGACTCGTCCCGAATGTATAAGTCACTTATTATAAATAATTCGAAACGAAGTTTAAACCGAGGATTGCCAGAAATAAAGGCTTTTTATCCAATTATGAAGAAAATGAATAAAAAGCTCATGAAAGACTAGTAGTAAGTTCTTTCAACGTGATTCCATTTCGTTCTAAATCCACAAAACCGTAAATTTTCTACACGTCTGTTCCAGAACAGGGGGCATGCATAAATGAGGAAACACTCGTGACTCGTGCCGCGTAAATCTTTCCACCGTTAATACGAGAGCCCGTTAGAATTCACGTGGCCGACGTTGAAAAGAAATAACGCCGCTAGTTCGGCCGAAGTTGGGACGAATCTTCGGTAAGAAAAGCTCGGAATAAACCATTCGCGTGACGCGCGTCGCATGCATATTGCATCTCTTCTCTCTGACGTGCTCTGTCCTCACCTGTGGTGGGGGCTGATCTGACACGGCAATCACACCGTCCTCCGGATTTCACGCTCGATCGAATGGAATGGTCTATTTTTCGTTACGGTCGTGGCAAAAAAAGTCGACGATTTCGACACGAGTAAATAATAAATGTCTTAACCGTGCGATCATCGATACGTGAATTTTGAATGCAGGAATTATAGAGATCGATATTGATGTTTATCTAGTCTTGATGTCTATCCAAATCTCTGATTAAACAGGATGGCGTGTATTGAAAAAGAAATGAGAGATGGATGAATATTAATAAATATAATTCCTCATTGTTTGAATAGAAAAATTCGATTTAAAAAAATGTTGTAAGAAACGAAGATCTGGTGAATTTTAGACGAGTGAAACGTAATTCCCCTAAATCTTTCGAATTATAAAGCGATTTTGATATTGAAGTTAACGTCATCAAGTTTCTATCCAAATTTCTGATTAAACAGGATGGCATGTATTGAAAAAGAAATGAGAGATGGATGAATATTAATAA